TCCCAGAGCCCAGCTCACACCAGCACCCTCCTCCTCCAGACACGTGGCCTCCCAGAGCCCAGCTCACACCAGCACCCTCCTCCTCCAGACACGTGACCACCCAGAGCCTAGCTCACACCAGCACCCTCCTCCTCCAGACATGTGACCACCCAGAGCCAAGCTCACACCAGCATCCTCCTCCTCCAGACACGTGGCCTCCCAGAGCCCAGCTCACACCAGCATCCTCCTCCAGACACGTGACCTCCCAGAGCCCAGCTCACACCAGCAATCTCCTCCAGACACGTGACCTCCCAGAGCCCAGCTCACACCAGCACCCTCCTCCTCCAGACACGTGGCCTCCCAGAGCCCAGCTCACACCAGCACCCTCCTGCTCCACACTCGTGTCCTCCCAGAGCCCAGCTCACACCAGCACCCTCCTCCTCCAGACACGTGGCCTCCCAGAGCCCAGCTCACACCAGCACCCTCCTCCTCCACACACGTGGCCTCCCAGAGCCCAGTTCACACCAGCACCCTCCTGCTCCACACTCGTGGCCTCCCAGAGCCCAGCTCACACCAGTACTCTTTCCCTCCAGTCAGGTGGCTGCCCTGCAGGAGGGGCTGAGGCAGGCAGTGTCTGTGCCACTGGCCCTGGCCGAGACCGTGTCTTCACTCTGGCCGGTGCTTCAGGAGCTGGCCCTGTGTGGGAACCTGGCCTGCCTGTCAGATCTGCAGGTACACGTGCATGGGGCGCGGGAGGCCTCTGGTAGAGGCCTCGGCCTTCTTCTCCAGCTGGGCTGGCTCCTTTGGTTTGTGTTTTGAGCCCAGCTTGCTGTGTGGAGCCTCTGTCTTCCGTGGGCTGGGTGCCAGCTGCTCCGAGGCTTGTTGCAAGCTGCCCAGTGGCCGGGAGCCTCCGGAGCCCCTGGCTGCACAACACTTCAGGCAGCCGCCCTCCCTCTCCTGCCCCTGTCCCAGCAGTCATCTGGACTCACCCCGTGTCTCCTGTGTAGACAGGCCAGGACGGCACCACGGCTCTGTTTCTGCAGCCACCCTGGACCCCATGCCCACAGGTCTCTGCAGGAAGAACGACAGCTCTCAGTAGTGCATCCCAGACCCAGAGAAGTGGCCCTCGGTCCCCAGAGGACAGGTGTATGCTGCAGAGGGTGCAGCTCAGAGAGGCAGCTTTGCTTCTGGGCTGTGGCCTTGCTTCCAGTTTGTCATCGCACAGGCCCCAGGGCCCACGTCTGCTCTTCTAAGAGGTTTCCATTCGCAGCTCAGAAGTCAGGCTGGGTCTCTGTGTGGGGCAGGGGCAGGGCCCCCAGGGTAAGGCATCCATCGGGGCCTGACCTGGCCCTTAGTGGAGTCCTGGCTGAGGCTGCTTGCTCAGTGGATTTCTGAGGGGCGAAGTCTCTGGTCTGGGCAGTCCTGAGTCCAGGAGTCAGCTCCATTCCCTGGTGTTTCTGCAGGTGGCAGCCAAAGCCTTGGAGATGGGTGTCTTTGGTGCATACTTCAACGTGCTCATCAACCTGAAGGATGGGACAGATGACGCGTTTAAGGGCCAGGTGGGCAGACTGGGCCTGGGACAGGCAGGGTTCAGAGGCCTGCGTCCCCCCTCGTGGGCAGGCCAGCTGGAGGTGGACAAGGCTTGGGGTCAGTGCTCTCTGGGAGCTGCCCAGCCCCTTCCCCGGGGAAGTCTGTGCACTGGGCCTGAGGAGCAGCAGGTAGAAAGAGCCCGAACAGATTGCACCAAACCTGTGTCTGTGGCACCGTTCAGGACCTGGCCGTGTCAGGCCAGGGACCACAGTTGTGGTCTCTACAGCACCGTTGGAACACACGCCCACCAGGCCGAAGCACAGCGCCGTGAGTGGGGCTTGGCTCAGTGCTAGAGCATTTCCTAGCAGGCCTGACACCCTGGGTTCAATCCTCGGTCTCTGTCCCCCCCACACCCCTTCTGCCTCACACACACAGTTTGGTGGCATTTAACACACTCACAGCCTTGTGTGGCCACTACCTCTAACATGTTCCAGAATATTCTCATTCCACTGAAGGAAGCCCTAGCCCCAGCCCTGACACTGTTCCGTGGCACCTCTGCTGGACCTATTTTGTGGCTGATTCTAGTATGGGGTGGTGGCAATGGGTCTCTTCTGGGCTGTGTGTCACTGTCCTGCCACGGTGGGGGGCACGGCCCTCCCCTGACCAGTGGAGGAAAGAAGTAAGAGCGGAGCGGAGTCTGCAAGGTCGCCGGACCCGGCTGTCCCCGGAGCTCTCGTCCACGAGAAGCCTGCCGGAAGCAGCTTTGATGACCCCATCACCTGGGGGCGGGCAGCAGGGAGGTGGCTGTGGAAGCCGGGCCCACAGGGCAGCTGTGCGGTGGGCAGTGTCTCGGGGAGGGCAGCTGTGGGGTGGGCAGTGTCTCGGGGAGGGCAGCTGTGGGGTGGGCAGTGTCTCGGGGAGGGCAGCTGTGGGGTGGGCAGTGTCTCGGGGAGGGCAG